AATCAAGGAAAAAGTTTAAAAGAAAGACGGTTTCAAGCGCACGCTGGCTCTGTGCGCGAGCGATTCATCATGCTAAGAGTAGAGTAGAGCTCGATTTAACTTCAGATTTGTTGAATGTTGCGTGCAACAATTTTCAGGGGTAGACACACGCTGCAACAGCCCTGTTGTGTGCAATGCTGCGTGTTTTCTTAAGCTTTATTGATCATAGCTGTCAGCCAATCAATTTGCGAGAATACGATCTGTTATTGTAAAAATACCATCTGTGAACTCAAATGCAGATAAAGTTGCGTTGGAGGATTTAATTAACTTCCCGTGTACTTAAGTTCAGGGGGAGGGATGAAAGAAAGGTAGAGGGATCTACCGACCGCAGCCGGGCTGTTAGTGTTCCGGGAAAGTGCGTTACTTATAATAACACTTATGGAAACAAAAGTGAAAGTTTTGCTACCTTTCAGCAACACTTTGTGCGGAACAGTATAGAGTTGTGTCATCCAAATATAAATGTGTATTGCATGACATCATTAGAAAAAGGTGTCATTTACATAAATAAGGAAAAGCAATGGGCCTTAACATGACTCTTGACGTACCCCATTGCGCATAGGTAAGGTATCATTCTGCATGTTTGTTTCTGCATGGCATGTTTGTGTAAATCAAATGAATTTAATGCGAATACTTATGAAGCAAGGCCCCGTCCACACTATGCCGGGTAAATATTAATCCGCAACTGTCACACCGAAACCGAAAAAAAACTGAGTTTTCCGTCCATACATGAAAACGGAGAAAATGTTTCGCGTCCACACGGATACRCATAAATCATCAAAAAATGTGCCACGTGTTGTTAAGGGATCATATTAAGCCTATAGACGCCCGAAAAATTCATAAACACAGTCAAAATAAAGAGAACCTTACATAAAAAGGCAATGCGATGCAATGCAATCGTGGCTAGATATCGAAGTTTAGAGATTACCGTAGCGTTTACAAAGATGTAGCCACTCTTTTGTTACAAGTACTGAACAAAATGACTTCTAAGCATAAAAAAGTAAGGGACTGGTCATAAAATATACGGGGTGGGGGTGGGGGTGGGGGCAAAATCAGGAGGTGGGTCACATAATTTTGGGCTCCTTCAAAGGGGTGGGCTGTTGATAARATTTGACAACTAAAAAGGGTGGGCCATTACAAAATAGAGTATTATAATTGTCATCATCAGAATTTCTCAAGGAAATTTGCAGTTGAAGAGGATCTGGTTAGGAAGTATGTAGAACATCTGCAGTACCTT